CGTCTTGGATCAAACAATACTCGCTCAAGTCTTGCATTGCATTAAGTAATTGACAAATATAGTTTAGTAGATGTTTGGAGAAATCTAAATCCTGAAACTTATTCTATGTTCACACTATCGCGATTCGTGAAATCGTGGAATAATCGTGGTGATCCGATCAGATCTTATCAGATCTTGAGGTCTGTCGGGGCAATTGAAAGAAGGGGCACGGTGATATTGTTACACAAGAAAGATAAAGATCCTCTTCTTATAAGTATTTATAGGCCTATAACGTTGCTGAATGTAGGTTATAATTGCTTTGCAAAAGCCGTCGTTGACAGATTGTAATTGATTATCTAATCGACTATATAATATCAGATAGGGTTTAAGAAAAAAAAAAAGTCATTCACGAAAATATTAGGTTTTGGGTCGATCTCTTAGAAGTTTAAGAAGATAAAGTATACCTATTATTTGTAGATTCTGAAAAATGACTTTGATTCTGTAGAACATGATTTTATTGAAACAGCAATACAAAAAGTTTTTCAGGTAGAATGATAAAATGATAAAGATCTGTCTCAATGAAACATTTTCTTGTGCCACTAATAATAACCAAACTATTACAAACTACATGTATTGTACTGTAACTCTAGGGGTGTAAAACAAGGCTTCCATGAGTCCGTTTTTCTTTTATGCGCAGAGATGATAAACAGTTACTTCCGCAGCCTAAACACAAAAGAGGGTCTCAAAACCAATAATGAAATCATAAAAGAATTTATTTTGCTGACGATTCTGCACCCATAGTCAATAAATCGGCCGTTATGGCAATCAATGGTGATAGGAAAGAAAAACATTCTGCCAAGATTGAAGGGCTCAGGAAGGTTGAAAATTATAAATATGTAGGTATAGTTTTAAAGGAGCATAACGTAATAGAATACGGGGGCAACGTAAATTCAAAAGTGGACAAATTATTAAAACGCCTTGACAACTGGAGACTTCGAAACCTAACTATTTATGGTAGAGCTTTGTTAAAAAAATCAGAGGGAATTTCAAGGCTTATTTATCCATAAAATTCTTTAGTAATCCCTCAAGATCGCTTAGAAACGAGTAACAGAAGTTAATATGGAACAGCTCATCAGAGAAGATTTAAGGAAACAGATGTCAACAGATGAAAATGAAGTGGGGGACAAAATCTTTAGACTTATTATGTGTTTAAGTTTTTAAAAGGGAATTTCGAAGTAATAAACCGTAGTTCCTAAAAACACAAAATCGTAATCTTATCCACTTTTGACTTTATATTAACGGCAAATAATCGATAAAAAAAACCTTTGTATTCAGTGTACTTCTATTAGTTATGTTCAGTGAAGGTATGTGTGAAAACGGCCGTGATGCCCTGACCACGTGAAATATCTAGGTCGATATGTACCAACCGTGGTCTTTTAATTATGATTATAAAGAGTGAGAAAAATCCATTATATCTTTTTTCTTTTCTTTTTTCCTTTTCTTTTTTGGGGACTAGACAGGAGACGAGTCTAAATCAATTGGCACCAACTTCGTCATAATCTAGGGCGGTAGCTCGACAAACAAAGGCCTCATAATGGCATAACATTTCAGCGGGTTGTGCTTTCATTGTAAGAAAAATGAGTGCATATTTTTACACATTTAATTTCATATTAACTAATTGGATAATTCCATTTTGTTTCACATAAGAAAAAAGGTATTTGTTTTTATTTATTTTCTTATTATTATTTTTTTTGGGGGGGTGTACACCTCCCCTTTAAGGGGTATCCAAGTCTGAACCGGTGCTCAAGTAAGGTGTGCTCGGCTCTACCATGATTATAGGTTTACATTGTCCTCATGTGTTACTCATTGGGAACCGTACATGAACACCAGTTCACCATACAATATACCAGCGCCATAATCCTCAGGTATACCGAAATGGTTGGAAACGTTAAGGTTGACCGGGCATTTTATAAAGAACGATGTCGACCGAAATATTATCTCCTTACAGTGACGGGTAAAAACCCCTCGAACCTTTAAGGGATGTCCTTGATCAACGCACAAGCACTACAGGAAGAGTCGTTGAACATTCCCCAGGACACAAGTCGTAGTCTGATTGTTTCCATGGCTACGATGCCAGGCAGTTCTTGACTCTCATGGGGGCCATACATGATTTTGAGAACAGCTGCCCCCACTTTGACATTGGTTGGATTCCTGTGACAGGAACCTCGGTCGGTGACAATGACTTTGGCCGAACAGGAACAATCTATATGATCTGTTATATTTGTAATGCATCAAGTATACATCAGAAACCCACGTTTGCGGTGTGTGTTTTTTTCTTTGTTGTTGTTGTTGTTGTTTGTTTTGTTTTGTTTGTTTTTTTGTTTTTTTTTTGTTGTTTTTTGTTGTTTTGTTTTTTAAAGAGTATATAATAGTTATATACTTGTAATGGTATACTAACTGGACCTCTTCAGTTAGAACATTGTTATTTCAATACGGTTATGCACATGTATGGATCCACCAAACAGTTGGAGATCCTAATATGTTCTTAAAGCTATTCAAACAACGCTGTAGAGATATATATTACCAAGCATGGTCATCCGATATTGCAAGCTCCAAATATTTGTATGCATATTCATTATTTATACATGACATTGTCCATGAAACATATTTAAAAGTATTATCCTCTATGCAACTCCGCAGATCTCTTACAAACTTTAGATGTGGCATCAGTAAACTGAATGTACAAACCTATAGAAGATCTAAAGATGATGATATCAGTTCTGCCATGTGCGCTCATTGCGTCCTTATTGTCCAGGACGAGTACCATGTTCTATTACAATGCCCTGGTTATTATGATGATAATATTATTGTGTAAATCCCAACATACAGAAGTTTGTAAATTTACTTAATACCCAAAATGCAAATGTTATTTTACGCCTAGCCATATTTGTAAACAAAATCCATAACGTTTTATGATGCTTATAAATGCCAGTGTATTTCTCATGCCAGCGCTCCAAGTCAAAACATTGATCACACAACAGTGTCGTTTCCTGTTGACTGGGTTCCGTCCTATTGCGCAACAATAACCAGTCCAGAATTTTGAGACAAATTCATTTATCTGGATACATAAATATTAATCAGTATTATTTGATACACCTAAGCACTTGTATATTGCGACACTACGCTCCTTCTAATCCTTGCAAACACGTCGTGCAGCGTGCTCTGTCGTACAGCTAGCTCTGACAAACGGAAACCTGGAAATCGTGGAAATCTCAAAACGAGGCTCTGCCGCAAGAAATGTTTGACGGTCTGGTACGGATTTGATATTATACCAATTACATTGTGCGTTACAGAACTACATTGAATAAGCGTAAAAACACATAATTTTTAAACAGGCGTAGCCAATGAGCCAGATGCATTGGGAATCATTTTACGACCTCATCAAACAGGGGCAGTCTGTGACGTCTTAGTTAAGCTCATGCTGCCCACACATCGCCATAAAATATAGTAATACGATGTTATTAAAGTTTAACATTAAAATACATTGGTAAATACCATTTTCTTATGAAACAGGGAATTAGAATTCAGTGTAACCATAGTTGTTTGTGATGTCTATTTTCACTTTCACACGTGGAAATTCGGATCGGCTGAAAAGTAGGTCATTGTCTGAATAGGTTAATGAGACTCCCTTTTCGGTTTGAAAGAACATGATGAAAAAATGTCACTGTACTTTTGGCCTCATGGCCAATAAATCTGTTTGTCTGTCTGTCTACTTGTAATGGAGCATTAGGATATAATGGATTGTGATTTAGTGTTGGATACTAGTATTCATAGATATATATTTTCAGTCTGATCGTTCCCGTCACTGTATCTGTTTTTATGAGGAAGATATTTTTATAAGCCTTTATGCCACTCCAACCTATATGTATACACCTTATTTTATCAGGGTTTTGGCTCACTACAAAGAAGAGAACTGTTTAATATGTGCTAAAGATTCGTAAAGATCCGGGTTAGAATTGATCTTCAGTAACCCACGCTGGGCGTAAGAGGTGTCGGGTGGTCAGACTCACTGACTTGGTTGACACATGTCATCGTATCCCAAATGCGTAGATCGATGCTCATGCTGTTGATCAGTGAATTGTCTGGTCCAGAGCTACCATATAGCAAATGCATCATCACCATTGGTTTACCAGTACCAGTTGGTGATGGCAGGTTCCAGTGCAATCACATAACCAAACTGGCACTGCCGACTTTCCCCCTGCTGAAAATGGAAAATCGTTGAAAGCAACCAATACTCAAAACTTCTCAAAGTAAAACATGCTTACGGACACAAGGTCATATTTTCAAAATATCAAAACTATTGACTAAGACCACCTCGTGGTAGAAAGACCTGAGACGAAAGTTACTTTTTAGAAAGTAAGGTTTACTCGACATTTACGTCAATTTCCCAATGGAGCCTATTCCTCAAATATCACGAACCTAAAAAATATATGGGTGTATAACATTTAATACTCCTTTCATCATATGTAGCCATTAACGTCATGATATTGTAAGTTTGGTGTTCGAAACGGTTGGCAAATGACTCCATTTCTTTTTCTTTAGAATGAATATGACATTGTTGGTTTCATGGAGAATCTGTGACCGTAAATGTATAGACATTCATAAGGTATTAGTGTTATTCGCCGACAGTAGGTTGTTGATAGTAATAGTGTAGAGGAGGTTAAACATGTTATATAGATATTGTTAGAACAGGCAGCTAAACGTGAATGTGGTGAGGCCTAAAGTACCTAGAAAGGCGTGTGACGTTTTAAGTATAAAGATATATGTTGATGCAGACATACTAAACAAACATCCCTCTCCTCGACCTCTCCCCCTGCCCCTCTCTCTTCCCCTCTACCATCACCTCATTCTCTCCCTCTACCCTCCTTTCCTTCCTCGCCCTCTTCTTCTCTTGACAATTTACGAAACACGCATCATAGCGATGTGTGATTTCTTCCTGAACCGTGATTTCTCTGTTCCAGTGCCCACATAGACGGTGCCCAGTTTTTGAACTTGTTCAAAGACACAAAGCCAACGAAATATCTGCCAGTCAACTTGCCAGAGCCCGCGGTATTTCAAGATTACGCTAGATCTCTGGGAATTAATACATCCAGCCATGTCATCCTGTACGAAAACACGGACCTACATGGCTTTGCCGCGCCAAGAGCCTGGTGGATGTTGCGAGTAAATATTGTTTGCCATCTTGTCAACCCCCTTTGACTGTCAGACATCTAACAATGGATGTTACATAACTACGATTTACACAACATACCGACAAATATGGACTCCCTGTTTCTCATATCCAATACTTACTTTGTACAGTGAGTTTGATTTTATGGCACTTTTAGCAATATTCCAGCAATATCACAGCGGGGGACACCAGAAACGGGCTTCACACATTGTACCCATGTGGGGAATCGGACATGGGGCTTTAGCGTGACGAACGAACGCGTGAACCACTCGGCTACCCCATCGCCCCTTACTTTGTACACACCTCAAGCAGTTTTAATACATATCATAGGATATAGTGTAATGTTAAACAGTTCCATCTACAAAACCATTTTTCTTTCAGGACGCTGATGATATCGAAATTGTGTAAGCTGTCTCCACTACAAAACTATTCCTAAAAATATTCACGACTCTCATTTTTCGCTTGGTATATTTCTTAAGATCACCGTCACATAAGTTTTTGTGGCAACTTTATCCATATTTCTATTCCAAAATAATATCGGTAAAATACGGAGCTAAAAAGGGAAGGTCCTCAAAGTGAATTTGATTTACTAGTTTCCGGAGCGTAGGTGATCAGTACAAAGGCTCCAGATGTTGCTGAACATTACACAGTAAATGTCATGACGGACATGTCAGAATTCGGTTGCATGTCACATTTCTTCTTTCATGACGTGGGCGAGGCTGTGAGATAGCCTAGTGGTTAAAGCGTTCACTCGTCACGCCGAAAATCCGGGTTTGATTCCCTACATGGGAAGAATGCGTGAAGCCCATTTCTGGTGTTCCCTGCTGTGATATTGCTGGAAGATTGCTAAAAGCCGCGTAAAACTAAACTCACTCACTCGACTTATTCATTAATGAAAACCCGTGAAGGTCCGGGTTAGAACTGATCTTCACTAACCCATGCTTGTCGTAAGAGGCGACTAACGGGATCTGGTGGTCAGGCTCGCTGACTGGGTTGACACATTGCATGGTATCCCAATTGTGTAGATCGATGTTCATGCTGTTGATCCCTCGATTGTCTGGTCGATACTCGATTATTTACAGACCGCCGCCATATAGCTGGAATATTGCTGGGTGCGGCGTAAAACTAAACTCACTCACTCACTCATTAATGAATATCAAGATCGTGGCCCTGTCCTGCGTTGATGGTTGACCGTAATATTAGATAAGAAAAATATTTCTGTGATTTTCTGTGAACTCTGTATACTATTCGATGGATATTGTTATTCCCCGCTAATGGCTACAAGACTCTGTGTAAACAGTATGTATTCACTTGTTCTCTCTGCCCATGCTAGGCGTATGGGATACGGAACGTATCTGTGCTGGACGGCGGTCTGAAGCGGTGGAGATCTGAAGGCTACCCCGTGACTGTGGAGACAACAGAACACCCGGTAGGTACCCCATGACTGGAGACAACAGAACACCCGGTAGGTACCCTATGACTGGAGACAACAGAACACCCGGTAGGTACCCCGTGACTGTGGAGACAACAGAACACCCGGTAGGTACCCCATGACTGTGGAGACAACAGAACCATGTACCCCATGACTGGAGACAACAGAACACGTAGGTACCCCGTGACTGTGGAGACAACAGAACACCCGGTAGGTACCCCATGACTGTGGAGACAACATAACACCCGGTAGGTACCCCGTGACTGGAGACAACAGAACACCCGGTAGGTACCCCGTGACTGTGGAGAGAACAGAACACCCGGTAGGTACCCCGTGACTGGAGACAACAGAACACCCGGTAGGTACCCCGTGACTGTGGAGACAACAGAACACCCGGTAGGTACCCCATGACTGGAGACAACAGAACACCCGGTAGGTACCCCGTGACTGGAGACAACAGAACACCCGGTAGGTACCCCATGACTGGAGACAACAGAACACCCGGTAGGTACCCCGTGACTGGAGACAACAGAACACCCGGGAGGTACCCCATGACTGGAGACAACAGAACACCCGGTAGGTACCCCGTGACTGTGGAGACAACAGAACACCCGGTAGGTACCCCGTGACTGTGGAGACAACAGAACACCCGGTAGGTACCCCGTGACTGGAGACAACAGAACACCCGGTAGGTACCCCTAGACTATGGAGACAACAGAACACGCGGTAGGTACCCCATGACTGGAGACAACAGAGCCCCCGGTAGGTACCCCATGACTGGAGACAACAGAACACCCGGTAGGTACCCCGTGACTGTGGAGACAACAGAACACCCGGTAGGGAGGTTTACTCTTCTGGGCAGGCACATCTTTATGCCTGGGGTTAGGTTGCCTGGGGTTAGGCTACCTGGGGTTAGGCACCTAGCCTGCGTGAGTTTGTGTTCGGTTCCATATAACATTCACAAGGTTCAGCGTACTTTGCGATACTTGTTGTTTTAAAGAGAATTCAGTGATTGTCAAAATACTCAATTCTTACCCTGAACTGTAAATGAAGGAAGGATCCAGAGCGAGATCTGGGGTGACCATCCCCTCTTTTTGTATGCACAATGCCTTTCATGATAAATAGGACCGAGCGGATACCCCTTTTCATAAATATCTGGATCTGCCCTGTAGAGTAGACCAGTGGTCCATGGCTCGCCGTGACAGGATCCGCTAGTCGCGGATTCGCTTTCATTATGATGCTTCGTTCGTCCTGGAGGTTTTGTCGTTTGAGGACAACTTGGGTCTGTACGTGTCATAACAGAAATAGTTCCTAGGCTGGCGGTAAATAATCCCTTATACTCACGATATTTCCACACACAGAAAGGAGACGTGGCCGTCACTACAGATGCAAGTCGAATGATGTCTTTCAGTGACATCGTTGCCTCAGCTGATATACAGCTGGTGGACTCAAGGCCTCCCGATAACTTCGCCGGGGAGCATCAAGAACCTTCTCCGTGTGAGTAACGTCCGGTAGAAAGTTTGGAAGCTTTTATGTCAGATCAAACCAGTTGGCAGCCTCAGATATTGAAGAAACAACATAATGAGAAAAGTATATGAGTATAGTGAAAATGTATACTCTATAGTCTGCAGAATCTAGGTCAAAGTGGGAGGTTATTGCTGATTATGCTTACATATACCCAAGCGGTATGGATATGTGTTCATGCTTTCAACCACTTGTTCGATTTGCCAAGACTCGATTACTTAAAATCCGATGGGATATAGCAGGAATTTGGCTACAACCATGCGGCGTGAAACAATATCAAACATTCAGATGCAGAGCAGTGCAACAAATGAAGAACACTGATAAAGGTCCAGTTATTGTCATATGTTCATGTGTTGCAATATCGCGGGCTTTTCCATTGAGAGTTATCTCCATTTACTACGTGTTTGCCTTTACGATGTAGATGCTGTTGACGTTAATTGTTGTCCGATTGCAGTAGACATTACATTTTGTTTCAAACAGCTGTCAGTGTATTTCTATGGACGATCCCAACAGTTTCTGGAACATGTGACATTCTCGTGAATCTCTTGCCACAATGTTCGCACTTTGTATCGTCCATGTATACAATGAACGGTATTACCTTTGCAGTCCTGCAGGCTTTTATGCCTGCCCTCGGCATGAAGAAGGAAGACCTTGACCTTCAAACAGGTCACATTCCAGGAGCCGCGAGTGTGCCCTACCCTTCCATGTACCAAGAGGATGGTGTCACATTCAAAACCAAAGAGGACCTGACAGCGTGTACGTGTTGTCCAAATGTGTGCGTGGGGTGGGGGGTGGGGGTGCAGGTGCAGGCGTGCAGGTGCTAATATCACAGGCAGGGATGCCATACACCAAGGATCAGATTCAGTGCCTATCTGGGAAAACTCTATACTTGCAAGGAAACTCTATGCGTGCAAAATGTCAGCTTACTGAAGCTTTAAGAGCGTTTAAAATAGAAAACGAAATCGGTTTTATGTTTCTTTTTATTTGGAATGTACGAGGGAAATCGCTTTTGGAAGAATGTGATTTAAACACAGTTTGTCTGGGCCCCGCGGTATTCCAATCCCTTGTAGAAACATGATACTAATTGATGAATGGATGTGGGGATACCGCAGCTAGAGTGAGTTAGTGAGTAAGGTTCTACGCTACTCTGCTCAACATTATTCCGATTGGGTAATGGGTTTCTTACATAGCGCCCACAGGGAAATTAAAACCGCTTTTCTTTCGTGAAGAGCGATTGGGGGAGTGAGTTTAGTTTTACGCCGCTTTAAGCAATATTCCAGCAATATCACGGCGGGGAGACCAGAAATGGGTTTCACACATGGTGCCCATGTGGGGAATCGAACCCGTGTCTTTGGCGGGGGGAGGGGGACTCATTAACCACTAGGTCACACCATCGCTTGAGGGATGTAATAGTCGTTAAAATGTTGCTGTAGTTTGTACAACTGACTGATATTAACTTTGCCGACTCTACGTCCCCAACTCCGACGCGCACACAAACATCTTATAGGAGATGGAGCACGTTATGTCCACCTAGACTGTGTTTTTATTGTAAGGTTGTTTATTGACAAGTAACTGTGGAATACTATATTGGACATTCTTGTGACCTCGATTTTTCGAAACAAGCTAAATACATAACGTATATCAAAAGGGATCTCGGGATCTCGCAATATGGCATTTTGGGTATATTTGACTCCCTTCCAAAGGTCCCTTACACTATACCATGGGAAACTGACCTACATTTGTGTGTTTCAGTGTTTCAGAAGCAAGGTGTGAACATGAAACAACCCATCACAGCCTACTGTTACGTCGGTCTTACCGCCTGCATCTTCGCCTTGGCCGCCAGTGTTTGCGGGCACGGGGACGTGTCTGTGTACTATGTAAGTCACTGCATGTTGTCGAAAACAGGACATGACACCCGGTGTCGCTTGGGATCGGGTGGTCAGGCTCGCTGACTTGGTTGACACATGTCATGTACCCCAATTGCGTAGATCGATACTCATGCTGTTGATCAATGGGTTGTTAGGTCCAGACTGGATTATTTACAGACCGCGGACATATAGCTGGAATATTGCTGAGTGCGGCGTAAAACAACAAACCAGATTGTTGTTACGCATACGGCTGATCTCTACATGATTCCGACCAGCCTCAGTGAGTGAACTGGTCGTTTAACGCCGCGTTTATAAGTGTTTGAATCAAAATGTGAAAGCTTTACGTGGGATGAAGGAATGAAGTTCCACACATATAATACTTTGGTGAAACCCACGAGCTTTAGTACTAAACGATCGTTGGTTTCTGGCTGCCCAAGGGACGCAACTCGGCACAGCTACTACGACGGCATTCGTGGGCGCATATAGGCCTTTTAAGGCCCAAGGTCGCCCTAAAACCTTACCTACCTACCTACCTACGACGGCATTCGTGACCAACTCGTGTTATTCCGGAACAAGTTGGAGGTTACGGAAAAGGGCGAGTGGTGACGAATGCGGGCGATGGAGTCAGCCAATCTGTCCTGTATCATGCAGAGTTGTCATTAAACTCTGCTGTAATCCAACCATCTGGCATGATAAATACGTTACTCCTGTTATGTACCTGTACCATAATGCAAAGGACATCTCAAACTTAAGCCCGTTTTACAAATAGGTAAAGTATGTGAAACAAGTGTCTGTCGCAATATTTTTCAGGGCTCCTGGGTAGATTACGGACAGAGGGCGCCGCAGTCGAAAGTCCAACGGTCCTGTTTCTCCTCTGTGCCTTGACACTGGCATCATGTAGAAGAACTCAGTCTCAGTTTAGCATGATGTTTAAGACAATGATTAATAACCACATGTATATTGTCAATTTGATTCTCCTCCAGCTAACCGATCATTATCATTTTGCTTTAACAAAGAATGCGTATGTACGCTAACATATACAGCTGTAGTTTAGTAATACGTTGGTTTCACATTAATATTTCGACTCGCTGTGCGCATGCGCAGAGCGTGTAAAAATATCCACTGGCCATCTTCCGGTTTTGTTGTATGCTTTACCGAGTGTAAACACACAAAAAACAAATATATAGTTTTATGTCAAATGCAACTGATCCCAATTGATTTATGAAACAAAGGCCGGGATTAGTTATATATAGAGCTTAATTTATGTTAACAAGCTCTTGTATATTGACTCTCACCACCATTCGTCACCACTCGCCCCTTTCCGTAACCTCCACGGCTTGTCCCGGAATAACACGAGTTGGTCACGAATGTCTCACCACCACCGTCCTTCCCACACTTCCCCTTCTCACAAGTAAACAAAACCCATCTCTGATGGAATTGCAACCAAAATGGAACATCAATTATTGACAAGCAGGGGCAAATGGAAGTATGTACTCAGCTATGAACAGTTGTCACAACGTAAATAATGTTCATAACAGCTTTTATTTAGAGAGTATTTACACCATCGGTAAACATACGACCAAACCGGAAACAGGCCAGTGGATATTTTTCACACGCTCTGCGCATGCGCACAGCGAGTTGAAAAGTAATGTAAAACCAACGAATGGTGTAACTGTATGTTAGTTTTATCGTGGTGTGTGAGCTACAAGGGGTAGGAAGGCCAAGTCGATATACATTGTATATGTGTATCACTGCAGTGAAGCATCGGAGAAAAGAAAGACCAGGGTGCCGTTGTACAAAGCGATCAAAGGTGATCGTTCCTCCCATACCATAACACAGACTTACGACTGGCGTAGCGCTAAGGTGATCGTTCCTCCAATACCATAACACAGACTTACGACTGGCGTAGCGCTAAGGTGATCGTTCCTCCCATACCATAACACAGACTTACGACTGGCGTAGCGCTAAGGTGATCGTTACTCCCATACACAGACTTACACAGCGCTAAGCTGATCGCTTACGACTGGCGTAGCGCTAAGGTGATCGTTACTCCCATACCATAACACAGACTTACGACTGGCGTAGCGCTAAGGTGATCGTTACTCCCATACCATAACACAGACTTACGACTGGCGTAGCGCTAAGGTGATCGTAACTCCCATACCATATCACAGACTTACGACTGGCGTGGCGCTAAGGTTGCTTTGTACAACGACACCCTGGAGTCATTGATCAGACGAATCTTAGATTCAGTTCACGACAAGGGGAGTGGCAATCGAGTGGCAATTAAAAAGCCACTGTTGCAAGAAAAAGGAAATATATTATAATGTATGTTATACTCAGTGTTTTAAACACATACGCGGAATAATAAACAGATAAACATCCTTTGTGTGTCAGTTGTTTCTGTCGAACAGGGAGCGGTAGCCTAGTGGTTAAAGCGTTCGCTCGTCAGGCTGAAGGCCCGGGTTCGATTCCCCACATGGGTACAATTTGTGAAGCCCATTTATGGTGTCCCCCCGCTGTGATATTGCTGGAATATTGCTAAAAGCTGCATAAAACCCGACTCACTCAATCACCCTTTCGAATTCCAATGTACATTTTGCGAAGCAGAATTGGTAGAAGCGTCTGTAAAGGTGCGGTTTCCAAGGGCGACCACTCTACTTACCCTCTGGAGCAGATACATCGATTCCTTTGGCCAACTTTGGGGGATATTGTTTTTACGCAGTTACCCGGTATGTCACAACATTATATGAGAGCGAGGTAAATCAAATTAACTTATGTATCTTTATCGATCTTTCGGCGTCTTTGAGTTTAATCACTTACGGGCTTTTTTTCTTTCGAAAGCCGGTGGTAAAACACATCAGATCTTTTAAAAATATGAATTGGTAACTGATTTCGTAAAAATATTATCCATCTGGTGAACTAAAAGAAACTGATTTTGGTCTTTGCTCTTTGCTCTTGTTATTCAGACGTTATCTGAGTTTTATACTGAAATTTTGCGTCACGTAAAAGAGACGTATATAACCTCAAAGGAATTTAATATTGGTAAATAGTAAAGACATATGATACACCTTAAAGACGTGTGGTAAATCAATTTAACAGATACTTTATATACCTTCTGAATAATGAAATCATAAATGTTTATTTTTCACATTTTACATGATTCCCTTTATCTGCGACAACAGCGTATGTCGTGTCATAATGTACCGTGAATATCCAAATGTCTTATCCCAATACTAACCAAATAAAAAATTCATTCTGACCACCGATACTCATTTACAGCTGAGTCTTTTGTCAAATATGACACTTGACCTTCTGGCCCTAATAGCCCCATGATTCTTTAATGGATGCTTTTTACACGTCTCTCAGCCATTTCCCAGGATATCTCGGCGCGATATAAATAATCAAATCAGGAACAGACAAACCACTTATCGATGAAAATTTCATCATATCTGATACCAAAGTATGTGGGTTTTCCCATAACTGAATAAATAATTACATCCTGCCTCAAAATTTCGCAGTAGCAAAGGAGTCTTCAAAGTGAGTGAGTGAGTATGGTTTTACGCCGCTCTATATTCCAGCAATAATTTGTTATACTCTTTGCGTATAGAATGCATGCTGTGGGAATAAAGTCGAAAGTTAAACTCAATGAATAATTACATCCTGCCTTAAAATTTCGCCGCAGAAGGCATCATCGAGATTCGAAGAGCTATGTACCACGGCGATCCGGTTGTCACGTCATGAAAGAGAGTCCCCGATCTAGTAAAATACCAACTTGAACTAAGTCGAAGAACCGTGCTAGCGTACACTGTTTATCAGTTTCCGGGTCCTTTACAATCTGCAACATGGAGGTTTTCCTCAAACTGACCTCTTATCAAACCACCATGACAGGTTTTGGGTTTGGCGGTGTTTTTTCCAAATCCCGAGAGATTATCTCAGAGGTCAAACAACAGATATCGGCAGGTGTTTTCAAAAGTTCAAAGTCGAGCAGTACACGATGACTCTAAGGACCTGGCTGCCAGATCTAAAATCACTACTGGGTGTAATACGCTCCACATAGCGCTGTAGGTAGGGACATCAAGGAAAAACATCAGAGTATAAACTAATGCTTTTCGTTGAAAAACCAGAAACACTGACCTTGATCCACTTACACAAAACAGTCGTAGCAGTACGATGAGATTGATATTTAGTCCCATAAATAAAACAAATCTTATTTACAACCTATATTTACCCCAAAAAATAAAAAAATCTGAAAGAAGCCCATAAAAATTATCTTAAAGTTGAGAAAACCTATATTTGCCAAATCATTCTAGACTTGGGTTGGACTCCCTGTTTCACTATAGGGCTTGGAAAGCGACGATCGTATCTCTCATACTCTTACATAGACTTACGTAGCCTTGGGTAACATTGTACAAGAGGCCTCAATGGTTGTTGTGGGGGGTAGTTCATTTTCTCTGTACGTTCGCTCGTCCTGCTGATGTTCCGAGTTCGATTCTACATATGGCCATCTCCGCGAATGACGGACCTTTCTTGGTGTGTGTCAGTGGAACTTTATGTTTCTCTAAAACATTTCGTAAGACAATTTCCACTGTTAGAACACTAAATCACTTTCAGTGATGATCTTTATAAACTCTGGAGATTCTGGGGTAAGTCACCAGCACTTCATGACTGTCCCCGCATTGGCTCGAGATTGTCGTAACCAGTGAATGTCCGGGTTAGAATTGATCTTCAGCAACCCAAGCTTGAGGTAAGAGGCGGCTAACGAGATCGGGTGGTCAGGAGCTCGCTGGCTTGGTTGACACATGTCATCGGTTCCCAAATTCGCAGATCGATGCTCACGCTGTTGATCACTGGATTGTCTGGTTGACACATGTCATCGGTTCCCAACTGCGTGGGTCGATGTTCATGATGTCAATCACTGGGTTTTCTGGTCCAGACTCGATTATTTACTGAACACAGTCGTATAGCTTTAAAACTGCTGAGTGTTTCGTTAAACAACACACAAAAATACAAGATTGCCCTACGACCCGACTTGAGCTGGGCATCCAGTCTGACATGGCTCACTGACTACATGGTTGGTTGTTCATTCTATCAAGCATCGGTTGAGATTTATTCGATTACATGTCTACGTCATGTTGATGAATAACAGTGATCTGTAGCGTAGAATGACATTCATTCACTCACTCACACAAAACTCTGCTATATCAGTGGATGCAATTTGACTAAACCAACACTACCTTAAAAACCTGTGTATTTGTAAATAACTCTACCTTTATCACCACTTATATCAGTGTAAAGCATCATATTACAGCACGCTTTGTGAAGTCATATTCTGGGGTTATAACTCCATTCACACAAAATACGCATCGTGTCTGTCTGCATCACGTTCGGTGTATGAAACGGAAATAGTCATACAATACCCTAACTATAAAAACAACAGGAAATCGAAAAGACACTCAAAGGCACGGACAAAAAGAGCCCTGTATTTCAAATTCAAATCTTCACAGGGGCCTTTTAACAGCGCACAGCTACAAGTGCTGTAGTTCATCTCAAATAAGTAACCATATGACGGACTTCCTTATCGATTTCTCGAATATTAGGCCAGAGACAGAATTAAAGAGCTTTTGAGGACACGAGCTTCAAGGTGGGGATTAAATCTACCCGTCTAACCACCCAGGGTTTGGTGACACAATTGTGATAGCCGGAGGTTAAAGTAAGCCCATCTGCCAACTTACACGGCATATGTTGTATGTAGAGACTACACAACTCTCTACAGGTAAAGCGGACCCTATTGCTGGTCGCTGTAGTGTGACTGAAGCTCATTCCCACATCACCCTGTGCTGGAGGAGTCCAGTGCTGTCGTTGAGCTTGGAGACAGAGCTGTTGGTTTTCTCGTCACGGATCTACTAGTGATTTTTGTCAGTGTAGTGTTGACTGTTTGACATGTTGAGAACGTTGGGAATACAGCGGAGGATATAGCGGACTGTAAGGTGAGTGTTGATGTAGATTTGCTGTGGCTGTAGTTGTCACTGTCGTCGTCGACTGTGTTGTCTGTGGAAGAGTTCGTGGGGTTGTGGGGTTGTGAGGAGGTTTCAGTCGTGTCTGACGGAGACTCGTACACATGTTGTCTATATTGGTGCAGTGTTCTGTGACGCCATTAGTAATCCTAATGCCCATTCTCCGTTGACACAGACTTTATCTCCATACACACTTTCTACCTACTTCTCATAAACTTATATATGTATCTGTCTCTACGCGGGGTTTCTTTTAAACTCATACACATTTTGAATCACACGTTTGTCTAACCTCAATGTAGATGTGCCTGAAACACACACTGACACACTCACCTACAACGTCATTGCATTTCTCCCTTTTAACACACAAAGGAACAAACACAAACAAAAACAGACACAAATCTAACTTTATTGTATCTCTCCTTTCTTTCTCTGTCACTCACACACACACACACACACACACACACACACACACTCACACACACACACACACACACACACACACGTATTATCGATCTAAACGTTTTGTTTCCTGGCCAACACGTCCACATACTATTCTAACAGCCTCAATCCAGTATTAATTCACGTTGTTATCTCCGCTGTGGTAAGTGACAGAAATATCCAGGAACACTTTCCTAACATCATGATTACGCCCGTCTGCAAAACCGAAAAGCATACTCAACACATACTTCAGTGTGTAGTTATTGTTGAATAGACCGCCATTACACAATACAGCAGTATGCACAACCTCCATGCATTAAGTCTGGCACGTGGATTGAATAGTAACGACATGCATGACTACAGTTTTAAAGTGTATCCTGCCTCATAAATATGACACTATTTACTGTACATATCATCGATAACAATAGCAAATACTGTCACGTATAAACACAGTATATGAAGGACTTAATGGTTGCCGCGTGATAACTGTTTGGAACAGATATCATTGCGGCGTAGCCTCGTCAGTGTCACGCGTACACGGTACAGGTATTCATGTCACGTTGAGGTACATGTCACGGTGTAGGCATTACCGTGACACTGGGGTGTTCCTTGTCTTTACACAATAGAAAGTTTTTCATTATACTAGCATGGAAAATTGAATAATTTGTTCTGACATCAGTCGCCAACCATGATGGGAAATAGGTTATGACTAAGCAATGAATTACAGCAGATTGTGAAATAAAAGTTTGCATTCCCGCATAGTCGATTTTTCGCTGAGAGAAGACACAGTTGTTTACCTTGCCTTCGGTACAATTCACTCACGCATCTTTGGTACTTGTGTGATAGGATCTAATGAATGTTGTGCAGTTATAACGGCTTTTGAAATGGGTACCTGTGAAGCCGAGTTGAATGCCTCTATTGATTGTTTGACAAAATAGAAGAAACGCATAAATGCATACATCTAAACATATCATAATATATAATAAGTGCATTAGTGTCAAGAACATATTAATTGTTAACTGCAACGACAATATGCAGCTTAACATATAAGTGAAAATGGAGTGAAATGTTGTTTTACGGCGTAATGGGAACAACATACCAACCCAATGAAACTGTCAGTAAGGGAGATGCTATTTAGGGACCGTTCATAATTTATGGCTTGGGGGTGCTGACGATTTTAAGGGGGATCACCCATTTTGTTCTCGGGAGGTAGAGGGGTGAGCAATTTTGTACGCATGCACTAGGGGGATCAGCAATGTTGTACATAAAAATATTAAAATATTATGCGAGGTGTGTGTGTGTGGGGGAGTTTGTACATCATACCACACACACACACACACACACACACACACTAAATTATGAACGGTCCCTTATTACCCACTTGGTTATTAAACGATTTCATTTTATTCTTCTGTTAATCTGTCATCTATGATGAGTTCTATTTTTATGGCGTCTTATTGAGATGGCTAACTACTCATCACTTTACAAAATTTGCCTAAAAAACTTCCTGATCTCTCACCAACTTACTAATGTCACAATCAATATGTTCTATTTTCACCGGGTAATAACAACCACCAAGTAAAGCTTTTATTCAGTGGACGTTATGGCAATATATAAGTAGGGAGAATCAATAAGTTAGTTTTAATAGCCACAGAACAGCCATAATAAAGTTGTCGTGAAATATCGTATCTCAATTCACTTAAGGGTGTAAAAACACATCCTACCCAAGGGAGGTTACTCCAGTTTATCGCGTCTGTGAATCACCCTGCTTTTAACGTTTAACGACGTTATGCTACATATAGTGGTCTAGGGTGACATCGTTTTCTCGCGTTCGTTTACCGTCGCGAGAAAGTGATACCACGAGACGAGAAAGCTATATGCAAATGTCGCTTTCTCCTCTCATGCTATCGCTTCCTCTTCACATGCTTTCTCTTTCTCGACTTGAGTTACCGCTTTCTCGCTTCTCGCGTTGCGATTGGTTATTGATGGCGAGAAAGCGATGTCCCTTCTGGGCCACCATACTATTGACCAAGGTCATGAGTGAAGCAGACAAAAATGGTTAAGCCTGTTTTTAGCCAGTTTTAAACCAGCCCCTGTATTACGTGAAACGTGGTAATTACAAGGTAACAGGACAGGCAGGTTTTGTCTTAAAGGGTCTATTACTGTATTTGTACGGGAAGTTGGCAATTTGGCTGGTGTACCCTCAGGCCATTGCGTTGCAACTATTTTTCCTAATAACATTCGGAGCGTCTCATCTACTCATTGATCGAATATGATACAACACATACCAAGCCTCGACAGGGGCCAGCATGGCCTGAACATGGATTTGAAATATTTTGAACAATGTTTATACTCTGCAGGGCGAAATCGCATATACAACTGGAAATTGGTTTTATATAAAACATTACAAAGGTTAAAGGGGCACTGATCCAGAGCGATTAATGTTTCGCGCCAACCATCTAATTACGTCAGGTGGTTAGTCCCTGCTCATTTGTGTGTGTTGAAAATCTCCCCGGTAGTTCATGTCTGATTGTAATAAAGTACCCCAGCAGTGTAGCCATTTCCCGATTTCTGATGCGTGGATGGTATGATGACTGATTCAATTTGAAACCAGTCGCCTTTTGTGATAAAATCATTGATATGATGTATGTTTTCTGGGCTCTAATACTTATATCAAATACGTCACCATCGAAAGGTCCTGTCGTGTTTCAGTCCTAGCCAACATCAAACAAACATAGGGGGAGCCTTCCATTTGCCCGGAAGTGTATAAACCTTTTGACGACCTTAGCATCTATATGTACGAATGAGTGAGTGAGTGATTTTGGATTTTAGCAATATTCCAGCAATATCACGGCGGGTGACACCAGAGATGGGCTTCACACATTGTACCTAAGCGGGGAATCGAACCCGGGTCTTCAGTGTGAAGAGCGGACGCTTTAATCAGTAGGCTACCCCGCCGCCTCTATGTACGAATGATGTACTGTGTCATCACCAAAAGCGTTAACTATTACAGCATTTATGACTAATATAATATTGTCCTTTAAAGAAATCTTAATGTCTATATAGCCGCTGTAGAGATGCTACCGGATGGGGGCTGATCACCCCTGCTACCGACTTCATGGACAGTATTTTATGGTCAAATACGTTTACAATGAACTCGCTTATAACGAACTGACAGATATAACGAATTTGGCTTTTATCCTGGCACCTGTATATTTTAGTCGAGACGCATATGATAAACTACGGTTAGAACGAACTGAAATTGGTGATCCCTTTGAGTTCGATATATCCGTAGTGTACTGTATGTCCCATGACACACGGAAATTGGTGGTCCCTATGAGTTCGATATATCCGTAGTTTACTGTATGTCCCATGACACACGGAAATTGGTGGTCCCTTTGAGTTCGATATATCCGTAGTGTACTGTATTTCCCATGACACACGGATACACACAGGAATCAATCCACCCGTTCACCACAGCCTTGTCACGGTGGTCTGTTGCTGATCGACTCTGGACCAGAGAAACCGGGGACCAGATGAGCACGGTCCAACCATAAGTTCTGTGACTGACAATCGACCAGGGTTCAGATGTAATCACAAACATCCGTGCTATAATGCATAATGTACAGTGTGTACATCAAAGACTGACTCCGGTTATGTTACAACTTCCAATAAGGTTGTGATGGACTGGTATCTCCTATCGATCCGCTTTCATGATGTATGTAATTTTGTCCATGTAATTATCCTGAAGCCCTCGTGTGACTGCTAATCCGCTCTAATGCCACCGGGCTATAACCCCATACAGTCGATAGCATCTACTATATTATACTGAACACAAAAAGAGATCATGAATATGTTTTGGATGTTATCTAGTTGTGCGACTAAGCACAAAGAAATATTTAACATCCTAATGTTATACCCATCCAAATGAAATAAAATGACTATATTATTAGCAAATGAAAATACTATTGAATTACAGAACCTGTTATGTATATCTGTTTTGCATGTATACATAGAACATCTGCTTTAAATTTGTAATCTGTAAATATTTGACATATGCTCTTCTGCTGCTCGGTTGTAAATACTGTGTATATAAATGTACTATAGGCCTGTGGCCTTACGTACCGAATAAAGATTGATTGATTGACTAAGCACACAATTTCATTAACATAACGCCCCCACCCACCACTACCAAAACACATACACACACACACTTTTGATCAATATGATTTTTATATACTCGTGTACATATTATCTTTTATTTCTCTGCGTCTTCATACTCAGTGGTCACACATACTGCAGTCGATCTCCATCGCCATCCATTGTCTGCTACGTCATGCCGAAGGCCCGGGTTCGATTCCCCACATGGTTACAATGTATTGAGCCCATTGATCTTCTTTGAATATTGCTAAAAGCGGCGTAAAAACGCTACTCACTCAGGCAGACTCTGACAGCGCGTATCTATGTTATGCACCTGTGCGTGTGTGTGTGCGTGCGTGTGTGTGTGGATTGGAGAAATTCTAAGTCTGTGTATG